AAAAAAAAAAAAAAAGTCTGTCTGCTCTGTCCTGCTTTTGTGGTGGGCACATCTGTGTAGCTGTAGTGAGCTGGTCTGGAGGAATTTACTCAAGTTTCTAACTTCTTTTTTTGCCAGCTTTACCTTGGTTAAATGCCCTGACCCTCACCATGAGACTGCACAAACGCATGAGAAAATGTGGTGTGTGATGGGAATGAGTGTCTAGATGCGGAAGGTGGTATTTTAGGCAGAGGTAGTGGAAAATTGTGATATCTTAGTGTTGAGAGAACTAAAGCATGAAGGGACCAGACAGTTTCAGTCCCTTAAACCTCCGAAGACTTGGTAGACTGTAGAGTTCTGGGATCATCTGATGAAAAAAAGCAAAGTATTAACAAGGTTGTTGATCAAAATACTTTATTCTGTAGCAGTCTGACTTGTTTATAGCCTGTGGTAAATCTGGAGAGGTTCCCAGAATGTCATTGAATGGGAACACTAGGTACATTAAACTACTGATAATGGTTCTTCAGAAGGATGAAAACTGAGTGCTTTTCTTAAATGAGAAAAGAGACCCCTGACTTCTGAGAGAAGCTGGTCATTGCTGAGTGTGGATGGTCTCGCTGCACTCCAGCTCTGTCAAGATGCTGCTCTTGAATTCTGGGAAGCCAGTTTTGTGGTTCTGCAGGCAGGAGGGGTGAAACCTGATGGTAGGCTCTGCTCTTCTTCGTGATCTGCCTTTCTGTGTATCTTTGGGATATCTGTATGCTTATGACCTGTGATTATCTTTACCTCCAGCAGTGTTTTTAAAATATAAGCTGCTACCCAGGATTTCTTCTAAGGCAAAATTAGTGGATCTCTTCTGGTTTGTAGTCATCTATCCTCAAGGTAGAGGGAAGCACTAATTTCTTCCATGTAGGTCAGCGCAGAGTTGCTATATAACAATTGTTTCTACTCAGTTGCAACTTAGACTGGCAATTAAATCAAATGATAACAAGGCCTAGGATGTAATTTCACTGCTTCAATGACTTTCTTGGGAATTGCAAAGGACTAGGACAATTGTGGTAATCAAAATAGCTTCTGTGTCACAAACCCCCTAGAATGAGCTGTTAAACCTGCTCTACTACTCTGCTAAGCAATGATCCAGATATGCCATCATTCAGGCTGCCTGCACTAAATTGAGCTGTTGGAAAAGTTAAATATCCTTTTTAATGGTATCAGTTCTGCTTGTCAGACCTTACCTAAATCAGTGCTCTGCTGAAAAATAATGTTTTTTGCAGTAGGATATCTCATCAAGATGCCTGGTCTAGTGTCTGAAATCTTCAGTACTGTGTTATTGATAGACTGTCAACTGTTTGAGGAGATAGTGGAGAAAATTATCCGTACTCATCTGCATATTTTGCTTATCTCTTTTTATGAAAGCAGGTCCTGCATGATCAGCTTGCAAACACAGCTGGCCATTTTTAAGTTAGGTGACTCATGAGGCTGCCAAAGCAATTATCATGGGTTTTTTTAGCACTTTGATTTTTAAACTGGGCTTTTTGGAACGGTTCTTCTACTTGCGCAGCATCTCATCTGTGGGGATCCCTCCTTGTGATGAAGCTTTCTTGATACTTTTATAGAAAGAGCAAATAGATAAAATTTATTTCTCATGAGAAGTGATCGCTCTTTCCCACTTTACTTAAAAGAAAAAGGAAATGAAAGAACTCAGGATTATTTGCAGCTACTGTATTCGGTGTAATGGGTCACTTATCTGTGAAGAGTTGATTTTGCAGTTTGAAATGCTCTGGTACCTCATTGTGAACCACTTTTCACGTTGCTTATAGAAGTGCCAGGCTGTACGTAGCTCCACACATACTTTAACCCAACAGTTTCACTTCAGCGGCCCTGTCCGCCTTTGGCTGCTTGTTGCTGCTCTGTCCCTCTTTCATCCACTCAGCTGCTTTTACAGCCACATTGTGAACCATATTGAGGAACTGATCTGGTGAAACTAACCCAGGGAAAGCCAGAGGTGGTTAGTTTTCATCCAGATCGCTTCCCCCGTGCGATTCACTGAGCAGCTGCACAAGTGCTTATTTATGGTGGTACGAATGAGGAGGGCGATGCAGCCTGGGAGTAAGCAGCGGGGCTGGCAGCAGGGTGGTTTGGCTGATGGCACCGATAGCTGAGCTGCAACACAGTGGAGTTGTTGTGTATTCTAATCTCTTGAGGAAAAAATGATGTGAAACACATAGGTGGTAACACTTAATAGAGATTTGAAAATTCCCTTGCATTAATACTTATTGTCACAGAACAGCTGCAAGCCCTTGAAGGATTTTACAGCCTCTTTCGGTTGTCTTTTTGGATATGTCTTTGTAGCTGATGGTTTCCTGGCTAAAGCTAATTATCTTTGGTCATGAGAGGTTAATTAACTCTGAGTGCTGCCTCTGTAGAGTTCTGAGGAAATCTGAATAATGCAATATCATATCTGCCACGGTGTAGTGAGCGAACTGGAAGGTGGCTTATTTTCAGGATCCAAGTCCCTCTGTCATCATGACATCATACTAAAGAATGTGAACAAGAAAATTGTCCATATAATTGGAAACTTGTTCCCTATCAGCTAGGCTGAGTGGACAAGTAATGGGACAGAAGGGAGGAGGAGAGTGATGACTAAGTTGGAGATTTAAATAGGCATTCATTACCTGTTGCATGTTGAGTCCTCAACTGTATTGTGGTCTCACAGCCCCACATTTAATGTTCCTCTTCCAACTGGTTTGGGAGAAGTGAGACTTTAAACTCCAGGATAAATTCCAGACTTTGAAGGGTGCAAAGAAGTCACAAACCATGGAGATAAGGACTCCATTCTCTCCATTCTGTCCAGAAGGGCACGTGTAGGTTATGACACACTACAGCTTCTTCCAAACCTCACTACATATACTGAAAGACAAGAAACCTGCTTGGCTTTGCTTGAGGGCTACTTCATTGTAACGTGCTACTTAAACCAGTCCCACAATTAGTTTGCAATCTTAAAATGACCTGGAGAAAGTTGCTTCCTTTGTTAGATGCTATGTGAGCTATTCTTCTTAGGTTGTAAGGGAGGTTTTTGGGTTCTTTTTTTTTTTTAAAAAAAAGGTGGTAACTAACATGGTAGAAGATAGATTTGTATGCTACTGAAGTTAATTAAAGGAGAGAGCGCACATAAAATGTTTGAATCATTTTTATAGGGAGTGCAATGTATGTTCAAAGCTGTTTCTTAAGGAGTGTATACGTTGCTCATAAAAATGGCCAGCAAAACTAAACAACTTTCAGGTTAGATTTGAAATAATGTACAAGGTCAGTGTAGTTAAGTGAGGCTTAATCTTTCTGTTGACATTCTTGATAGCAGTTTCTAACAAAGACCATATAGTTCTGCAATTAGGCAGCTTAGAAGGGTTTTTTTTTGCATTGTTTTGTTGTTGGTTTGGGATTTTTTTACATTTTGTATTGCACGTATATACTAGAGGTACTGGGCATTCTGTCTCAGGCTGGTTTTAGTCCAAGTAAAAAAAAATTAAGTCTGTCACGTGAACAGAAATTTAATATTCCTCTTTATATATTTCCAGGAAGGAAAACTAATATATCACTTAAGTGATAAGTGATATAAAGTGTCATACTGTGATTCCAAAACAGATGATGGCCTTTCAACTCTTGTTAAAAGCCTTTTAGGACAAGCTGCCAACAGAAAAGTTGTCTTTTGGTTTCAGAAGCATTTTAAATCCACTTTTTGGTCAGTGTGAGAGTGTTTCTTTTAAGGTTGATCCAGATTTGCAAGTTAACAGACTTTTGGGAAAAGGAATTATTCTGCAGACTTAACTTTGTGGTAAAAGGATGCTCTGAACCAGTTGTTAGTGACTTGTAGGTGGTTTGTGGTGATCCAAAAGGGATAGGTGAGACACTGGTTGGTTGAGAGACTAATTGGGATAATATGTTACTTGAAGGATTTGGTGAGAACTTTATATATTTGTAGTGGGAGTTGGAGTGCCAAATTCTGTTCTAAGCACGCAGGAGTTTTCAAAGTTAAAATCAGAACCACAGCTAAGCAATGATTTAAGAGTGACTGGTCAGTCCTACAAAACTTCTTTAACTAGTTAAATTTAACAGTAAGGTAGTGATGTTAAGTATTTGTCAAAGACGAAGGGCGTAGAATGCTTTGAAGCTGAGGATTTGAGCCACAGCTATTAAAGCTGTTTGGCACTTGGAGAGAAATTGCTTCAATCTGATGATTTTCATTCAAGATAAAGTATTGTAGAAAGCTAACATAATGTTGGAGTTGGATAAAACCACTTAAACTAAAGATTTTAGTGACACATTCTAGTGTATTCAATCCAAGAGAAAAATACTCAAATTATCCAAACAGAAAGTGGATGACAGACATCACAAATTTGACTGTGCCCTTAATTTTCCTTGAAAATCTAGATGGGTCTTTCTGATGTATTTTATTTAAGGCTGTTACAGCAGTTTCCAGGATTACTGTGAATTCAGGAAGCTTTGTTCAGCCAGTTATGTATGGCTCTGGATTAGGTGGTGGTTTATTTTGGAACTCCGGGTCCACTAGTGCTTGTTGAAAATAGCTTTGGCTAGGAAGTGTTTCCAGTGTGATGAAGCAGAACACCTGGGCGATGGTGCTGCTGTTTGATGCTAATAGTGTCACATATTTGCTTGAAACTGCTCGAGTAGTTGAGGTGATTTAGACATGTTGAATAAAAATTATGTAGAGGACATGAGTAAGACTAGCTTGTCTTGTATATGGGTGTTGATTAATTCGATCTCTTCGGAGCTAGTTATTGCTTGTCCAGTTGGTTTCCTGTGGCTTTGCTGAATGGGTGTGGTTTACACTAGCTCTCTGCCAAAGAAAATTGAGGGGTTTGGTGGGATTTTTTTGACAATAGTGCTTTGGAAGTCATTAAAATGCTTTAATGCAAAAAAAAAACCAACCCAAAAACAAACAAACAAAAAAGAGTTCAATTTCGACTTGAAGTTCTTTATTTTGTTTTTTTCTTTATTTTTAGCGTCGGCTTCGTCACCTTCGGAATATCGCTGCACGTAACATTATCAATAAGAATGGTTATCGCCTCTTGGATACGTACTTCACTCTTCACTTGTGTGATAATGCCAAGATATACAAAGGTAAACCAGGCTTTGCTGCCAACTTTTTTTACATTTTAAATTCTTATGATACGAATTCTCTGTCCTTTATTTTCGCCTTGACGACCTGTTGCCTCTACTTGAGTCACGTATGCCAACAGCGGAAAAGAGCTCTTTAGTTTCCTGAACTTCATAAAAGCTTTCAGCAGCCAAGGAAGCAAAAGAGATGACGGATTTGGTAGAGTCTCTTAAATCAACCTATTTTTGTTGCTCTCCTCTTCGCCCTCCCCTGATAATTTGAGAAACTTGGGAACTTCCAAGAGCACATAAAAGTTAAAGCTTTTGAAGCCTGAGTTTCTTTGTGTGGGGGAGAGTGTTCCACTCTGTGTGTACCAGTTATTTTATGGAGCATAAACCAGCACTTACTATTATCAAAGTTTTCCAAAAATAGAATTGTTAGCCAATGGCATGAAGCATCCAGGCATCTGTTCTGCTTTTGATAACTGTGTTTGAGTGTTAGATCTCATTTCTCTTTAATGCTTTGCTTCCCACTACAATGTATAGTTCTTCACTGTGGAAAGATGTTATTAAAATATATTTTTTATGCTCCTTCTGATATGATTGACAGTTGGAGCTTTGCAGGCAAATGTTGTTTTTTCTCCAAATTTTTATTTTCAGCTAGTGTAGTGGAACCTTGTTTTTTATTTTTTTTCAAGGTTGCTGGTTTAAAAGAATAACAATATGTAACTTGAGCTTGCTACCTGCACTTTCTTGTGGTGGTTGGTTGAACTGATCACTGTTTCTGCAGTGTTTGGTGTGTGGAACTGTTTTGTGCTCTATCAAAGCTTTATCCTCAGACCCCAGCGCACTGAGGGATGTTGTACAAAATCTGTATTCCAGCCTCCAGAGCTGTCTACCTAAAGACTTTAAGCTCTTACTTCAGCTGGGAAAGCCAAGGTCCATGTGTCAGCAGTTGCTTATTTCCATTTAAATACGGGGTTCTTGGCACCTCTGCAAGGTAATTTGGCTTGTTCACTTTCTAAGCATCTGGAACAGGTCACCCTTGCTCTTCAGGAAAGCAGTGCAGTTAGTTTATCCCTGTTGCACTGCTCCAGGAAGATGTCATACGATAAACCAGTCACCTTGCAGATGTCATCCAAATATTGTAAAGTACCGGGGCGCCTTCTTTCCCCAGAAATCAAAACCGCAGTAAATCTTGAGGATTATCTTGGGTGTAAAGATGAAATGCTAAATTTAAATAATGACTTTAATAATTAAGTGTGCATGAATACTTAGTCAAAAGCATGATGGCATTTTAAAGTCTTTCTCCTGAATCTGTTACTGATAAAGTAGACCCACTAGCATTTGTCTTCCATGAGTGTTACTTATTTTAGCTCTTTCTATTTCAACTATGAAGGTTTGTATCAGTGTTTAAGCTAATCTAAAAGTCGTTTTTTTACTCATTTTTCTTTAGAATTCTATAAGAGTGAGGTGATCAAGAATTCTCTGGTAAGTTATTTTAATATGGAAACACTTTCTTTTTAATATTGTTACTGCAGCGTATTGATTTCTCTGCTGAATACCATAACTGTTAAATGTATTTCTGCTCTTCAGTTCTGCTAGGAGCATCGCGTACTTCTCTTCCTTTTCAGGTTCTTTTCACAAAGATTGGAATAGTGAGTTATTGAATAGTAGAAATGCAAGGTCATTTTAACAGCTGTGGAGCTACAATCTGTTGGGCCTTCTGCAGATAAGACCAAATATTCTCAAGGGTAGGGCGTTTTCATGTGAGAACTGTTCAGTGCTCAAGTTAAGTTTTACAATATATATCAATTTTAAATATCGAAAACACTAAATAGGCATAGTCATGTTAGCTGGATTTTTACTGGTTTAACTTCTTCCAGTATCTGAGGATTGTATGCATCATAACTCAGGTTTGTTTACAGTTCATCTTTTTATTTTTTTTTTCCTTGCTGTTCTTGCTGGTGTTAGCAACAGAAATAGCTGCTTTTACTTAAATGTCTGCAAATTCAAGAGCACTCGTATATTATTTTTCTGAGTGTGCAGATGTATTAGAAGCTCAGTTTAGCAACCTTGGTGTAGAAGCAGAGGCCCTGCTTGTAGCACCCCAAATAAAGGGAGAGTCAGTGTTGCAGGGTATACCACTGGTTTCTTTGAACATCTTTTTGTTGTATAGGTGAACAGTAAGGAACATGTACCTGCACATATAAATGTGTATATTCTTTGAAGATTTAACAGCTTTAAGAAACTGAAGTCTGAAAACATTGCAAAGTTTCTAAATTTTCCAATTCATGTCAGTGAAGGGTCCAAAACTGAGCAGTTTATTACAACTGAGAAGGGGTAGATCTCTTTGTGGGAGTAGGGTGTTGCAAATGTTGGATAAGGAAGTCTGAAAACCTGCTAAACAGACTTTTAAACGTCTGCATTAACGAGGTAGAACTGTGCCATTTATAGCACTGGACTGTAAATGCTTTTGAAAACCTCCTGGATGGAGGGAAAGCTGTCTACATCCTCAAGGCTGTTAACTTGTCCAAGAGACAAGTTCCTTGCGACTTTAGGAATTTGAGTTCTGCCTATTCTGAATCAGGAAAAGGAATTACAAGAAGGGAATCTAACCAAAGGAAATACCAGATGGAATGACAAAAATCTGAATAAAAGATGTCTTGAGCAAATTCCATACATCTACGGGTATCTTAACGGCCTGGTATTTCTGTGTCTGAACAGCTACCAAATATCCCTTCTCCTTAGGAAAACTTGATTAATGCATTCCTCCTGTAATACTTACAGGGTAACTTTGCCCCTCCCTTTATTTCAGAGGCATCTTATTCTGAATTGCCTCATACCAGTTCAGAGATGTTTGTCCTCTTCCTGGCAGCTTAAGTGCTCAGAGAAGAGGCCTGTTCGTTCATGGGGTGGTGGGTTCCTACCTTTTGTTTTAGAGGAGCTACCTTCTCTGTGTGCAGCAGAGGAGGGAGGTACATATACAAAGCACTTTCCCATTTCTGCATTTGGACACCCTGTGATTTATGGCCTGTAGAAGTCCTAAAGTTGATATCTGGCTCTTAGATTGACTTGGTTTGGTTGCACCTTGGACCAATTACAACAGTTTCCATAAATCTTTAAATTAGAAGTTGTCAGAGGTGAGTGCAAGTTCTTGGAATGCTTCACGTTTGCAAATCTGAGTTCTGGTGGAATAGATGTTTGCAGTTTAGCTTAACGTAGGCTTCAGTTTAGCTTAACATATGCTGCTTTTGTAAAGCTTGAGCTGCAAGTCTGATCTCTTGGAGTGAAGAGGAGCTCTTTGTAACAACATTTGAAGATTGCCATCAGCATCAGTCAAGGAGGAGAAGAATGTGAACAAACCTGTCAATAAATTATGCAAACTTAATTACTGGATAATAGATCACCATTTAAAATTTAACTTTTGCAACGTAAACTATACCCTAGTTTTCAGAAGTTGAATTATAACTTGGAAAGGAATGTTACTTCCACTTTTAAGGTTCCTGATTTAGCTAAACGGAATTAGTAAATTCTTCAACATCTTGTAATGGGAGGAAGCAGAGTCCACTCTGAGTTTCTGAAGTACTTTTGAGCATGTAGCTTTTAACTCTGGAATTCTGTCTAGAAAACAGAGTAAGGAAGCAGCAGAGCCTGTTGACTTTAACTCTGTGTAAACCTTGAAATGATGGGCGCTCGTTATTCTTAAGAGGTTTGGTTTTTTTTTTAATCTTTGAGGTCGACTTTGGTACTTTGTGAATTGTCAATTTTAGGACTACTTTCAGCTTAAGTTGTTTTTATCCCTCTTTTGAATACCTACAGAATCCAACATGGAGAAGTCTGGACTTCGGGATAATGCCTGATCGTCTCGATACCTCTGTCTCTTGTTTTGTTGTGAGGATCTGGGGTGGCAAGAAGGAGCACTTTCAGCTTTTGATTGAATGGAAGGTCAATCTAGATGGGTTAAAGTACTTGGGCCAGCAGGTAATGTGAAAACGGTTTTTCCTCGCCTTTTTACTTACGGAATCAAACCATCTGGATGATCGAATATACAGAATGCTAAGAAAAGAAATTAATGCATTTGAAGGGTGTGTTTTAAAATGTGATTGCAGAGGTTCGTGTTAGCTTACTTCAGAGCTTTAAATCTTGACTAGCTGAATATTTTAAGCTACCATTGTTCACTGAGCCTTTTAAACGATACTGCTAGCACTGGGTGCTTTAAATTGCAATGTCTTGATTCAAGGAAATGGCAGTATGATTGTATAGATGGTTAAGTGAACGTAGAGCATAATGTCTGTGTGTCTTAGTTTTAACCCATTCTCATGGTAATGACATCCTGTCAAAGATCTTTAGTCCAAGGAGCTTACTCTGTAAGATCTGTTTTAATTCTGGTACTTGTCTCCTACTAGCCTTCTGAAAGAGGTCACAAGTGCAGTGTTTTCTGTACTGTGGAGCTTATAGTACAGGTGACTCAAAGAAACCCATATCGCATAAATAATAAAACCACCAAGAAATAGTGTCTTTTGAAGTCACTAGATTGTCCTAATTCCAATGGGCGCTTTTTGACTGAATAATTGATAGGATCTATTTAGACTAGATCACAGTTTATTTCTCACTTTAAAGCTAAATATTTATTTAAAAAAAAAAAACCAAAAACCTGTGATGTTTTTAAGCCTGGAAAGGAAGCTTTATAGGGAATGTATGCTCTAGCTTCACATGTGCATTGATCCTGGCCAGGGTACCCGGCGCTGGTGGGCTGGGAGAGAGTCAGAGGAGCAAAAGCAAGGAAAAACTCGTGAGTTGAGATAAATACAGTTTAATAACTGAAAGGAAAAAAAAAAAAAAGAGGGGAGGGCGGAGGGAGAGCAGCACACAAGTGGTGCAAAAGTAGTTACTCACCACCTCCCACCAGCAGACTGATGCCAACTGGTCCCTGAGCAGCAGTTGCCTTGTGAAGACTGACTTGTTTTTTTCTGCTAAACATGATGTTCTATGATGTGGAATATCCCTCCGGTCAGTTCAGGTCAGCTGTCCCAGCTGTGTCCCCTCCCAAGCTTTTGTACACCCCCAGCCTACTTAGTGCAGAGGCAGAGTTAGAAACAGAGGAGGCCTTGATGCTGTGCAAGTGTTGTGCAGCAATAGCTAAAACACTGCTGTGTTCCCAACAGATCTTAAACACAGCACCATACGGGCTTCTGTGAAGAAAATTAACTCCATCACAGCCAAACCCAGTACCCTTCATATTATAGCTTTCTTTCCATTTGTTTTTACTGGACAGAAGAAATGGCTCCCTAAATAATATGTTCTAGTGCATGGTTTTATTTGAAATAATGATTAATAGCAGGATATTAGCTATAGTACTGAATGCTAATTTTAAGTCTACCATAACCACAAAAGCCTAATTTTGAGTATCATTTTAAGTAATACCATGTGAAAGCTAATTACTCTTATCTCTGGATAATTTCCTGGTCTCTTAGTTACTTTTCTCAGCTGTAAATGCAGCAACAGGAAAGGTGCTCTGGCCAGTGGTTCTGATTTCAAGGTAGAATGGCTGGACATGAAATCACAGACTGGTTTGGATTGGAAGGGACCTTAAAGACCATCCAGTTCCACTGCTCATTCCACGGACAGGGCCACCTCCCACTAGCCCACGTTGCCCAAAGCCCCGTCCAACCTGGCCTTGAACCCTTCCAGGGAGGGGGCAGCCACAGCTTCTCTGGGCAGCCTGTGCCAGGGCCTCACCCCCCTCACAGGGAACAATTTCTGCCTTAGATCTCATCTAAATCTGCCCTCTTCCACTTTAAAGCTGTTACCCCTTGTTGTATCACTATACTCGCTTTGTAAAAAGTCTCTCCCCAGCTTTCTTGTGGGCCCCTTTAGGTACTGGAAGGCTGTACATACTCATCGACTGTTATTAAAGCTGTGAAACAAATGCATTTTCTATGGTTAAATTCATTTTTCTCTTGGGTTTCATGTGTGTCTATAATTAGAGGTGCTGAAAACCTGCATTTGGTTATCAAACAGAGCAGTTGATGCTCGTTTGCAGTGTAAAGTCATAGTAAACTGCCTATAAAATAATTTAAATTCTCTTCTTACAGATACATGCAAGAAACCCAAATGAGATTATTTTTGGTCTCAATGATGGCTATTATGGAGCTTCATTTGAACAGAAGGTAAGGGTGTATCGTATTTGTTCTGGCTTGTTATTACTGGTGACAAGCTGAGATTCAACTTCTAAACTTAAATTCTCACACTTGGATGCTCAGTACGTTAAAGTGTTTAGTTTTGAGAAGAAATACTTTTTTTGACGTGATGGATAAGAACTGTTTTCTCGCCTCTGTTGCCTGGATATCTGAGCTGTTCTGGGAAAATTTAAAGCACAGCATTTTAAGTCCAGAAAAAACCTGGTTACTGAAAATAAGCCTTGACTTCATTCTTTGAGGCAGACACTTCATTCAAACGTAGAAAGAACATTTTGAAAATGGTGTGGCTGTTAAGACTCACTTTCATGCCAGTTACAAAAGCATGTTATGTTTTGGTTCTCACTCTTAAAACCAGAGTTTGTAGCTTCTAAATGGGAAGCTATTTATTTGCTCTGTGTTGCAACTGTTTTGCCCCATAGTTGTGTTGTTTTTTTTTCCCCCAAAGTCTCCACTGTAGTATCTGCGCTTGTTCAGCTAATATGGTGACTACAGCCACATTAATTAGATGTCAGTTCTGATTACTACATCCATGATGGAAAAGTTCAAACTTACCTCTTGTAAATAGCACAGTTGACAGGATTTTTTTTTTTTTTTCAAATCCCAAATTGCTGCTGGCAGTACTGTGGTATAGATAGATTGTGTAAGGAGTCCTTGGCTGGAGAGAAAATGACTCTTGACACACAGCTACAGTTTCTGTATTAGCCACAACCAGCAAGTCCAGTCTTGTGGGGATTTGAATGGAGGCAGTAGCTTACTCTGTGGGGAGAGTGGAGCAAGGGACAAGAATTCTGACTGTATGCAGGCCTCCGAACTGTTTGGTATTCTGATGCTTATCCTTCAAATTACAGATGGTTTGATACGCAGCTCAGACTCTGCTTCCTGGCGCTGCTAACTCAGTTTTCCTGAAACAGGATGAAATTCTAGTTTTTCATGGTTTTGGTATTAATAACCTGGGCCTGAATTCAGTGATGGTAACACTATCCACTTTCCTGATTATTTGTTGTCAGGACTTGCTCCCTAGCTCATCAGGTTTAAAAGTACATGTTGCTTTTGGTTCTTGTTCATGCTCTGTAGCGACGTTGCAAATACAGTTGTAGCACAAATAATCTCCTTCTTTGTACTTCCCTAAAATTTATTCAGTTCTTGCTGGCTTCAAGAGCTAGGAATTTATTTTATCACCCTGCTCTGGAGCTTCTGATTGCTTTCTTTCAGTTTCTTGACCTAAATCTCTTCTATAGTACTAAACTTCCTATTTTTAAGTAACCTGTCTGCTCTTCAGACCAAACTAGTTGACACAAGCAAACTTTCAGAAGCTGTGTGCACTTAAGGGGTATTTCTGCTTATGCTTTTCATTCCGATGCTGGATATTCTAAATATTATACATCCTCACTTTGGTGGTTATACTAAACATTATTTATGAAGCACCATCTGGAACCTGTAGGAAGTGACTTTTGTTGTCGGGTTTCTGATGGTGCTTCTTTCTTCCCGGTGGTCTCTGTAATACTTTAAGACATCTTAGTCATAAGCCTCAATTTTTGAGATAATACATGAATGAAATGGCAATTTTAGTTTCTTTGCACTGGCATGTATGAAACTTGGGAAAATAGATGCTTATAAATATAATTTTGGAAGTCTAATGAAAACCTTGTGCACAAAGACACTTCAGTCTTTGTTGGAAGTGTCCTCTGTCCATACTGAAATGTACAAAAATAAAGTTAAGGTATGGTAGGTTTTTTTTTCCCATTGCTCAAAAACCCGTTGTTACTTTAATAATTCTTTGGACTATGGAATTAATTGCCAAAGTAGATTTATGGAGTCCTACAATAAAGTGCATTTTGTTAGTGTATTAAATGTATTTGTCATTAACTAAAGACCACTTATGAGCCAAAATAAGAAAATTTTTGGAAGCTGACTAAGCCATTCTGGAGATAATCCATCATTTTAGAGTTGTTTCAAAACATACTGTAGATGTATTTCCGAGCATAGATTGATCCATCTGGAACTAAATGCAAATTCCCATTTTTCTTTCCTGTGAACTTACCTGTGATAAGAGCCTAAAAAATCTTGCAGCAGAATAAACTGAAGTAGGGCAGGAACATTAGGGACTGCCACAGCTGTAGTTTTTATTGATAAAAATTGTTGATTTATTGATTAAATGTGTATCTCCCTGGTAAACAAAACCACCCAGAGCAACATGCTCAGATAGGAATATTCTAATTGCTAAATTATTTCATTTAAAATTGGAGCCCTGAAATCTTACAGCGTCACTATGTGATGCACTTTAGCTGCTGTTTTAGAAGCATCGAGCCCACTTGCATATAAGGTAACGTTCAAAAATGCAGGTTTGTGCTCAAAATGCTTGCTTTGTAGGAAGCTCCTGTCATAAAGGAGCAAAGCAGAAAACTCTAGCAACAATACTGGTGGAGAAATTCTAGGTAAACCAGACGATTTAGTATAGCGATTATTGTCTTAATAGAATAAAAGACCCATATCCAGAGCCTCTTTATTATTGTTAATATCATCACTGACTCTTCACTTTTTTTCCCCACTGATGTTAAAATAAATTCTTTATCCTTGGCAATATGTAGGTATTAGGAATTTTTCCTTTCTTCCATCTCTTCTGTCCAGCAGCAACAAAGCTGTTGCTGATATGCAAATGAAAAAAAAGAGAACGTTTTCTTATTCCACTTGCAGTTTTCTTGCTGCAGTGGATATATAGCACAGCAAGAAAAAAGTTGGAAAACAAGGTTTCAAAAGCCTTTGTGTGTGCCTTCTGAGCCCTCAAGGGTATTTACTGCTTTACTGTAGCTGTCTGTTAGTGGTCATGTAACTCCTCTTCCAGCATTTGCAGCTTTTTTTTTTTCCTCAATGTAGATACAAACGTGTGTTGCCGGTGTAGTTACTTCGTTCATAACCACATTTGACTTTCACATAATTGTACCTCCCACTTCTGGTTTTGTTCAAGCTCTTTTTATTATTATTTCGTAGTAAATTGTGCAGCAATTTTGCTAGAAGGCTTCAGCAGGATTCTGTTTCTTTCATCACAACCATGTCCAGTTTATTTTCCTGTTTCCTTTCTGGCATAGAACCACTGAAGCACTTGTTCCTCCCTTAGTTTAATTCTCTCTAGTAATCACACAGTGAATTGACTCTGTTTGGATTTACTTGAACTGGACCAATGTTTCAATAAGGTAGATGTGAGCTTCAAAGATACTTTTTTTTTTTTTTTTTTAAAAGCTGTCAACGAGGACTTAAAATATTCCCAATCCTTTAGCAGTTTTCTGAATCTGCCTGATTTTGTCCGAGACTTCATGCTTGTGTGTAAAACCACTTTTTACCCAGGTTTAATAAAATTCATTACTGGGTGCTATACAGGCTTTTCAAAAAACCAGATTTCTTCTTCTCTGGTTTCGTCAGTGCTTTCCTGGCTTTCCGATTTTCTTTCAAGCATTTTATGCTTGCTGCTACTAACTGATAAGATTCATCCTTGCTCTTGCAGTGATGTCTTTTCAGAAAGTGCATTTAGGGAAGCAAGTGTAGCTTTTAGGTAATGGCTAACATTCTATTGTCTCCTTAAGAAATAAAACCAGCTCTCCACAACTGAAAACATTTGGCTGTGGCCAGGGGTATGGGGGAATTGAAGAATAATTCATATTCTTTAGGGATACTGAGTTGTAGCTACCTTTTCATCGTCAAGCAGGAAAGACCCTTATCTTTGGAAAGCTGCATTTCTCTTCACTGTGTGGTCTCCATCAATGCAGGTAGAATCTTTCCCTGCATATGTTGGGGTTTGTTTTTTTGTTTTTGTTTTTTTTTTGTTTTGGTTTGTTTTTTTTTTTTCTCTTTAAGCAACTAGATCCTGGCCACTTAGCACAAGCAAAGCCTTTTTGTGTGTTGACAAATATATGTGTCTCTATGTAAGAAATGTGACAGAAGTAAACCAACTCCCCTTTCAAAGGGCAAACTTCTTTAATAAGTCTGAAACTCTTCCACTGCACAGTCTGCAAATTTCCTCAGAGTAGGACAGTTTGTGTAGACCATTTGGTGTCTGATTCTGTGGGAATTTCCTTTTGTAGTACAGGGAAAAAATAAAAGGCTAAAATATTTTGCTCTTCCAAATTTTTTTTCCCTCCTGAAACTCTTGGCCACTCCCCTTGTTCTTTGAAAAATTTTTCCTTTTGTTTTCTGAAGACAGTGTTTTTTGAAATGACATCAACTTCATGCTGTACAATGGTGATGCTGGTAGCTGTGCGTTTCCAATTTTCCACCATTCTAGTTCATTCAGGCATTAAGATGTTGTTATTTTGGTATTTTTTCAGGGGATATATATATATGGAATTCAGCATGTAGGATCCACATCTTGAGCATGGAAATGAGGAGCTGAGACAGCTGCTGATATGGTGTCTCTGTTGCAATATGATTCATAAATTATAGATCTCGCAATTCTTTAGGTGGAACCTTATTTTTGGTGGAAAAGAATGTCCGCTGCATGGCAGCTGTGTCAGTAGATGTTGACATGTAACTGCATTTCAACATCTGTATGGAAACAGCCTGTTGAGTCAGGGAACAAGATGTAGGCAGGGACTGTGGTACTTGCTACCTCGGTATCACTGCTGGAAAATGAACTGATCACGTGTACTAGCTGGCACATTACTAAATAGACTCTCAGAGCTGAAGCTGAAGAATGGCAGTACTGTAAATTGTATCCTTCGGTATTTCTGTGCATAAAATGTTGTGCAATAATAAAGTTCAAGAAAACACACTCCGTGTCTAGAGCACAGATAAAGTGATAGGACGTTAATATCTTTATAGGTAAGTACTTGTTGCAGACCAGACTTGAACTTGATCTTACTGCCACCTCAGTTTGCTTCTACCTGCCAGACATAAAACTCTGCGACAGATTTAAAATACATTAAAAGCTAGATCGTTTTTTTCTACCAAAAATGCGTGCTTTTAGTCAAGGTGGAAAATTTTTGATTCTTCAATTAACATTCTTTCTTTGCCTTAAGGATCACTCAGGTACCCTGAAGAATAGTCTTCTCCAGGTGGATCAGAACTGTGTTCGTAACTCTTATGATGTCTTCTCTTTGCTTAGGTAAGGTTTTTGAGAATATTCTGTGTAGCTCTTGTAACTTTTTCAATGTGTGTGGAAGGAGCCTTTCCAAATATGAAAAAAACCTTCTGGACTGGAATATACAAAGGAGATAATCTAGGTAGTGCCAGTTCCCTGCTGGTAGCAAGGAGATGGGCCTTGGCGTATGTGGGTGCCTTGGTGGTCTCTAGGGCTCTGCATGTGGATACTTGAATGCTCTGAACTAGAGCTGGCTGTGTTGGGGAGCTTCTGTGGAAAGCCCCTGCTGTGCTCTTCTCAAGTAAAATGTAAATAAATTGGAACAATGGGAAAAAAAGCAACTTGCCAAAACTTAACTTGGTAGAATGATGCTGTAGTTGGAACAAACCACCTATACACCTAAGTGTGTGGGATTTTTTTGTTTGTTTGTTTTTAAACATTGAACACTGAATTTGTTTTGCATAATTCTCCTTTGTAATCCATAGCGGAGGCATCTGGGTACTCAGGACCCAGTTACTTCAGGGCATGTATGGCATAAGAAAGGGATGGTAACTGCACTTTTGGGTGGTTATTTGGGTGTCTCTGTTGGTGAAAAACACAAAATTCTAGTATGAAGGTAAACAAGAAGGCCTTTTTGAGATCTGCTTCAATTATAAGAATTCAAGAATGTTCGCTGTGGGGAAATACAATAGAGATTTTAAACACTCAGTAGGTTGTTTTTGAGGAATTTGTATTTAAAAGGCATTTTACGAGACAAGTTGATAACTTCAGCTCCGCAGGAATTGCAGTAGATGTGCTACAAGGGAAAAATCTCGAAAACGAGAAGTTTATTCTTTTAAAAGTCTTTGGAAAAATGCACTTTTTTTTAATCGGTTGTCGAAGTCGAATCCATTCGGTGGCTTTACAGTAGGTGTCACTGTTGCCTGCGGGAAGAATTAGTTTAGGTTCTGTGGTGAAGAAAGCAGGAAAAGTGAACTCTGGGTTGCTTATTCAGAAGTCTTTATTTTATAAGCTCTCTTAAAATTTAAACGTGCTTCTTCTTGATTCTGTAAAGCATATTGAAACTAAAGGCTGCTTTCTGAATGTCTGTGTTCTGTACTTTTAGTGGAAAACAACCAGGGGGGCACGTTACTAAGATCTGGTTATGTTCTGGCACAGTCCATCGGAAGAGAACTCCTACTCTACCTCACATTAAGTCTTTGTTAAATAGAAAGAAGAAAACATGTGATGGTCGTCCTGATTGCTTTATTCATGCTG